TTCAGGCCTTGCCCATGATTAAGGCCACAAGTTTCTAGCTAAACACTAATTCAAAGACAAGCATTAGATACTGGTTGATTTGCTTTTCTGAGCATTTTCCATCCTTAAGGAAATGTCAGAAAATATTATTGTTAAATGAATATTTTTTCCTAATGCTCTAAATCTCCAAGGTGATTAGAGGGTCCAGAGAGAATTACAGACATGTCTAGAGCAATGCCAGCAGCACTGCACAAAGAAGCACATTGTCCAAATCAGTAGAGACCTTTAACCAAACACTTGAGTCTCTTAACTGTGAGGACTAAAGAGCTAGAGGCATGATACTGGAGGTGAGAAGGCTACTGAAGTCATTCTTGGAGATGATCTTTTATATTCTCCTAGAAAATAAAAGGCTTCCAGTGAGAGGAAACAAAAGACCTGAACAGCAGGAATATTTTGGGACTGGAGCCAGGAAAAAGAGTCAAGTAACAAAGACTGGTAATTTTGCATGAATTGCTGTTTTGTGTTGTTGAGCACCAGGACACAGCTGGTGTACTGGCAAACCTGAGGTTTTGTATTAACTGTATTGAAATGATAATGAAGTTTTTATTTTATGATTGCAGATGTTAGTGGATTATTGTTATTAAGCCTATTAGTGTAATAGTACAAATATGAGTTTCTTTTTCTTACAGTCTTATTTGTTGTAGGTTAAAATAAATTTAGATAGGTATTAAATATTTCAAAACAACATAAAGGTCAGTTAAGGAGATAAAAACACAGAGAAGAAGGTAGAGTAATTTGTTTCAAATTCTTGAGAATTAGGAGTGAACTTACTGCCTTCTGCTATTACACTCCAGGCATGTACTTAGTAATTCTTTATGGTGATCCCAGTACAGTTCACGCAAGAAGGTTGTTTCATGAAACATTGAAAGAGCAATGGTCTGTTTTGTAAATTGGTTTCTCCTTGTGCCTCATTTGAAAAAAGAGAAAAAAAAATCCAAAACAACTAGAACTGCAAAGTATCTAACTTCCTGGGACAACTAGATTTCATCCTTCCTAATGTGGAGCATCTCAGAGCTGCTCCATTTTCAGAGAGGACAGTCTTCCTGTTTACATTTTCAGTGAATTAATCTTTTTCTGAGTATCTCAGCCGAACATCCAACAGGCTAACCATGATTGTCAATGTTAGCTTATTCCATAAGTAATAAATTTTCCAGCTAATTCAGAATAGAATCATAGGATCATTAAGGTTGGAAAAGTCTTCTAAAATCATTGAGTCAAGCCATCAAAATACGTCACTTATTATTCCAGTTATTTATTGGCATAACAATACATAGCTCATTATTCACCATGGGTTTAATATAAAACACATCAGATGGGTGTACCATGACATTTGACTCTCTATGCATATTTTAGGTATACATTACTTACATTAAGGCAATTCACTGCCCTTGTGAACTTGCAATCTCTATGGCCATTAGAGTAAAGGATTTCCCTGTACAACAGTGGTTGCTCCTCCCTAGGCAGCAGGAATTTTTTAAGACAGTATTTCTGCCAAGTCACACTTACAAACATAAAACTCTGTTTTTCAATACTCTGTTTTTCCAGGCTGTTATAAGTGGCCTTTGGCAGCTAACCAACCAGGCAGTGACAAGTGGTGGGGCACCAGAAGAAAGTTGTGCTGCAGTACAAGTGTCTGCTGTACTCTGAACGTGAGAATCTAATATAGGAGTCCTCAATTGTGTTCAGAGCAAAGAAAATTGTAAAAGGATCATTCCACCCCTTTGTTTGGCTACTGTGGCTGACCCAGTGTCTGCTGATGCCCCCGTAGCCTTACCTAGGGCACAACACCCAGACAGTGTGTCACTGTTACAACGAACCTCTCTCTTTTCTCATGTGCGTGATTAGCTAGCTCAGCCACAAAACCATGATAAATTATTTCTCCCAGAGAGTACTACGGTTTACTCTTCCTCTGAGCTGTGAATAAGGCCTCTGCTTTCAAAAGGAGGAATAAACTGTTGGGTTTGAAGACCTTGGGAAAGAACTTTAAACTCTGTGTGTGTGCTTTGGGACATATAAACAAAATAAAACACTCATTGAAAATCCAGTGCTTAGAAATCATAAAATAAATATTTTTCACTTCCTTTTAACTATAGGAATTTATCAAATGTACTTTGTACAGCGCTTTCTCATGAAGAAAATTCATAATGATAAATATCTTGAAAAACATCTGGTTAGACACAAGGTTTACAATTCTTAATACTCCTACTTTGTTGTTAGCTGCTCTTAAATAGTTTTCACTTTGCCATGAAAAAATGTTATCCCAAAAAAAAAAAAACCAAACCTAAAAAGGTTGATTGAGAGGTGATGGCTGTAAGGTGAACAGAAAGACTGGTGATACTTTTGCTTATTTTCTTGTGAGTCCCCTTAGGAGCAGAGTCACTTATGAGAGTCTGTATGGGTGTCCTGTGCACATGTGTGAATGCATTTTATTTATAACTGAGCATTTGTACAGATATGCACATACAAATGTTCATCCATTCTTAGAGAAGCTGTAGCACAGTTTCCTACTTGAAGGCAGTCAGAATAAAATAACCATTAATCTTCCAGCACAGCATAGGCAGTGACAGGGTAAGCTCCCACATTACACTGCCAACAAGCTTCCTGGACTGAGATGTCCTTTCCTTTTTTGTCCTCTTGGCTGAGCCTACCTATAGACATGCCAACAAGCCTTAAGAGTTATAGTGCTTCTGTTATGACACCTGACTCATCAAGGTACTAAACCACCTGCTTGATTTTGAGCATGGGAAATATTTCATTATTCAGTCACATTCTCAGCTCCTGTAGCTGAGCAGGCATGAGATTAGTCAGAAAACATAACTGGCAGCACTTACTCCCTCATTTCACAGAGACTAACAAATTTGCTGGTGACAGCAAATAGTCACTGCTTTCCCAACCTATATCTGAATTACTGCATTGGAGCCAACAGGCAAATAAACATTTTCTGTAAGTCCTGTACTCTCAGATTTTTTTATACCTTTTTTTTTAACTCAGGACAAATTTCTGTATCCAATATGGACATGCAGTTCCCATTGCTTAATAAGAGATTGTATTGGCAAACAAGGAACAGACATATTTTTAACCTCTTACTATCAGTGATGTTGAATCTGCACTTTACAGTACCAAAGTACTGTACAGCACCAAAGTTTATGGCTGTCTAGCAGGTCAAAGCCTAGCAGTAAAGCTATAACCTTAGTGAGAAGATAATTTTAAAATGCAAGTGGAATTGGGAATGATCCTTTCCTTCAAAGTACACAGAGTTATATAAAGATTATCAACTTCAAAAAATGTGGACAACATTGATCTTCACCTGAAGCATATGTCTGTCAAGAGGCAAGGCTGAAAAGGATTATATGATTTTATTTCTTTCACATGACTTATTACAGAGAAGCAGGGTGCTGCTCAAAATGGTTCAACAACAAGCAGAGCAGCTTAGAATCCCCACACTGCAGAAGACAAAAGTAAAAAAAAAAATTTGTGTGAGGAACTCTAAGGTCATGTGAAGGGATTCTCTTCAGTATTTAAGGTACTCTTCTATTTGTATCAAAATAGGCTTATTGATTTAGTATGATTATACTGATACATAATTTAGTTAATAGTAGTTTGGAGCTTAAAGTGCCTGGTGATTTCAAAGCATATCAAAGCATTGAAATAAGGCCAACAGAAGAGTCACACAGCAAGCAGTTCTGCAGGATCAAGTTATATTGGTTCATTTTGGAAGTCCTGAAGACATTCAGTGAAAATATAAGGATTTTTTTCTGAAGCTGATGTTACATGATGAGAGTGTGTATCTACCTTGATATCAAACCCACACTAACATTCTCTGTCACCATTTAAAATTACACTGAAAGCTTAAAAAATAAAATCTTACAAACAAATCAAAGTAAAACCTTGACATTAAATATATAGCTATTTCACTCTTCAGTTGTTTTGGTTATGGATGGTAGGACAAGAACATGAATCTGACTAACTAAAAATAAGTGGATTTCTTATTAAAATACATTCACAGAAAGTTCTGCAAGGAGCTAAACCTGCCCAAATGCAATCTTGACTTGGGCACATGCCCAATAATAATTCAATTCAACAAGGAAATTATTTGTACAAGAAATTAACCTTCATGGAACAATTTCTGAAAGCAGAATTTCCAGTTTTACACTATGGCAACGTAAATCAAGGGACCACCCCCCAGTTATACCTGTAATGACAGTGCTACTCTACCTTTATCTTTAGCAATTACTTCTCTTCTGCAAAGGGTTTAGGTCTCAGAGGGTTTGCTTCTGGCAGACTTCACTGCCTAGCTAGAAGTACTGTCTTCCATAACAAGGATGATGCACATCAGACTGTGCATTGTTCACTACACATTGCCCCCAAAAGACCTCCTCAAACTTTTCAGATTGATACTACATCTTTGTCTGACTTCTACTAATTACAGTAGAATAATTTGCTTTACTAGCACTGCAAAATTAATCTTATATTTGAAAGCAGAAATATTACATATTCAAGCAGATGCATGAGAATGTTCTGTCACATGCACTTAACAAACTTATCAAACAAATATATGTTAATTATCTTTTAAAAACTGCTTGAATCATATTTTTAAGAAAGTAAAAATGAACAGTAGCATCAACAACCATTAAGAATTAGAAAAAAAATATTTTCATTCTTTTTTTCTCCTAAATTAGCATAAAAAATATAATCCAGTTTTAAAAAACAAGCCAGTGTACAAGAAGTAAGGTGTTCTTCAAGACCCAGGATTCCTCAGGAGAGCAGCCAGTTAAAAGAGATATTACAGCACCCTGAGATGTCATAAAGTTCTGTATTTACCTCTCCTCTTTCTGAACAGAAATTTCATACTGGATATGAATTTCCCTCTTAGCAAGCCTTTTTTCAAAAGAAGTGCATTTTATGGAATTTTTTCTATCTTGATAATCTAGTATTTTCCAGTTTAAAAGCATTCCACTTACCTCTCTGCAGTTCAGCACGGTTTCTTATAAGCAATTCCATCACAGTGCCAAAAAACCAATCAAACAGGTGGCCACCACATCAACATGGCCCCAGACCAACATTCCTCAGGCCAAACTAGCCATCAGCTTAGCTGAAGTCACTGTGACAACTAATCTTCTGAAAAAAATCACCTTTCCTTGTTAAAATAGAAAAGGTAATATTCTACCTAATTCTCAACAACTTGACAATGACACTGCTTTGAAAATTTAATTCCCAAGTTATTGTATAAGCATCATCATATCTCAAATTCTTTGGGAAATTTTAATTTCTTTAGAAGTATGCTATAAATTTTCTTATATTTCTTCCAGAGCTAATGATAACATAAGAGCTAAAGAGCTACTGGATATGTGTGAATTTTACAGTTTTCTTTGAGCAGTTTCTGAAGGTTGAGTTTATTTTGTTGACAAGAGACTGAGCATGTGCAGATGTTCCTGTTTTATATGAGTAGCAGCTTTGGAGTGTTAAGACTAAATCCAGTTGTGTGAAGGATACAGAGAAAGCAAAACAAATTTTTTCAACTCACTGCAGGCAAATTGCTACTGACCTTGAGGAAGCTGTAAGAAAAGTGAGTTTGTAGGAAGTCATTTTTACTTAAGCATCATGTGTCATTCTGCTTACACTGCTGCAGAACCCTGTGAGGAAGTCAACATGAACCAAAATTTAATATACAAACTGAGAACTATTAACATTTAATTTGGGATTATTTTGTATAGATTAATTTTGTATCAACAGTAATGAGTGCTTTTTTTCAGATTGTGGCAGTGTTTATTCTTCACTTTATTCTACTGACTGTAGGCTGATTGACAATTTCAAACTAAATACCAGTAGCCCAAAATAATGTACTCCCTCTCTCAGCTTGTGCTTGAATATTCAAAACTGCAGATGTAGGAGTAAAATAGAAGACAGAGAAGTGTAAAAAGATTCAAACCTTACTGAGATTCAAGGTGCTGGATGTTTGACATAGGCTCACCTCAACTAACTCTCCTTGGATAACTGAAATCGGACATCATCATGTCCACAGAAAGGTTTCAAATTTAAGAATCTAGGCTTGCAAATTCTGCTCAATAATAGGTCCCACAGAGCAGACCAGTGAACTAATATGCTTTTCTCACCCACTATGGATTTGCTGGATTAGATCCTGAATGTGCATTTTTAAGAGATTCTTAAATAAATAAATAAATGAATCATCTGTTTCTTTAAATCAGAGAGTTCAGTGAGGCTGATTTCTTTAGTGTGAGTTTTTTGACCAGAACTGTATCAGCAAGGTACATTGTGAATATGCCTCTCCACATGTCCAATAGTGGCCTTTAGTCTGTGTTAGTACATTAATATTAGACAATATTAATATGTGCAAAACGAGTATAAGGCCCTATTATCTCCCTTGCATAAGCAAACTATTTGCTTGTGCAACAATTTAGCATCTGGTTTTACAGCAATAATAAATTATTCATGTTCATTACTGCACTACTGCTATGGATAAAAAAGGAAAACCCACTTCAAAATGAAGACAGTCTGCAATTACATCTTAACAGCCTTACACTTAGCACAGAAGAATCTGTGATACCACTTCTGTCGAATAAAATGGAGGCTACTCAAAATGAAAGAAGAAATGTTCTGCCACCATCTATCATGGTTGTTCACCTGGACAAAAGGCTTAACAGACTTTAATTTAGTCATTCATGAATGTGGAGCATCAGTCAAAAGCTACAGCCTCCCCCACTGAAAATTAACTAACAGATATTTTTGCACATATTCAGGCTGTTAGGCTTTGCAGAAAATTGCAGAAATAGTATCAAGTGACTTCAGAGTTTCTGTAGTCACCATGGTCATGCAGCAAGTATGGAATATTTGGATCTTTCCAGTCCTTAGTTAATGTCTCCAGGAAATAATGTCAGCCCATAAAGAAAGGATAGAATCTGGGAAGTACAGTGAGGGTGCCATGGACTCCTTCTCTGAATTGCTTTGTCGTGTTATGGAGACTAATAAGGCATTGTGAGACCCATAAAAATAATTTCCATCAATATGTTTCTTCACTGCCATGAAGTATTGCACCTTTATGATTAATGCCTCCATCACAAAGAAAAAAATATTAAAATGCTGACCTGGAACAGATTTACTGGTTTCTTTGACACAGCAGCATGTGAGAAGAATAAGAATTGTTTTGCACAGTAATGAAAATGCCAGACTACTTCCTTCTCACTTTTGTATTTCACTCTAGGTGTAGGATGAATTAATGTTCAGTACACAGAGAACATGAAAATTACAGGTCAGATATCAATATTTGCTGTCTGGCCATAGCCCAGCACAATCAAGAGTTACTCCAATTTACACTCGCTTAAAAATATGTCCTAAAAAGTAGGACTATCTAAAAGATTGATATCTCTGTGTCAGTGGCAGAGCAGAAAACAAATAACAGATGCAAAATGGAGTGTGTTTCAGACTTTTTCTGCCATGTAAAAATTTAGTGAACTGAAAAGCAAAATGTTCCAGAATGGGGATTTTTTTTCATATCTCAGGGCATCTTTAATGTAGAATTAAATGAAATTTGGAAACTAGACTAGAATTACAACAGAGTAAAAGAGAAACTCAGAAGCAGGAAGTGGCAGAACTGTTGATGCTGTGATAGCTCCTCCCTTGGAGCCATGATGAGGGTTTGAAAACCAATCAAGCAGGAAATGGTAAGTGTTCAATGCCCTAGATAGCCCTATGGAAACCTTATGTAAACTAATTTTTCTCTATATAGAGAGTAATGCTAGAGTGTTTCTTTTCTTCACAGGTATGCCATGGTTTGAGTGATAAAAATAGCAATAGCCATGCTAGAAAAACAGGAGACCATGAAGGCTGATTTTTCTCAGGAAGAAATTGTGGGAAACAAAGAGATCTAAAAAAATAAGAGTAGTGTTGCCATAGAAAATGCTGAACTAATAGAAAGTTAAGCATGAATCATAATATGGCACAGAGTGTTTTATATTTACATTTGCAGAGCTGCATTCCAACCCTTGCAGACACACCTAATGTAATTTCAAATTTTATTTCAGGTCCTAATCTCAGCAGTGGAAGAGGCAGCCACTGGCCCAAAGGAGGCTGCAAAATATGCCCCAGAAGTAGACAAATACGAAGGCAGCTAGCTTGAGCTGTCATGCTGATGATGTTAGCAGGTCCCAAATTAACCACCTTACAGCAAGATCAGTTGTTTGACCACAACAAATATATCTAAGTATCTGAAAAGGCCAATGCAGCTGTGACTCAAAATCCACCAGGCTACAAATCAATCCCTCTCTCAACTAAGTACTGTTATTACATTTGGTTCAGCTGTTGGGTTTTCATAACGGTATGTATGTGGAAAAGGGAAAAAAAAGGTCAGCTTGAGGAGGTAGCCTATTGCAATGGATTAAAGACATGATACTGTAAATTTTTAAGTTCAGAATGTTTGCTTCTTTGGGTTTCTATGAGTAGCAGTTTCTAGGCATGTGAGTTAGCATGTACCTTTGCCTTGTGCAGTCCCATATTTCAGTGTCCCCAGGATAAATGATAGAACAAGGGCAAGGCAAATGATCTGCAGCTGTTACATAGGTTGTACCAGGCACAAGAATCCAAAGAAGAGTTTTAATGCAATATGGTGTGGCAATGCCAGAATTTCTGCATCTTCTAAGCCATACACCAGATCTGGGATAGCATGATTTGCAAGAAAAGACAGCTGGAGAACGTGTGCTCTCCTACACTGTTATGTTTGTTCTGAAAAACACTCAATTCCATTTTTTTTCCAAAATTAGCAAAAACAGCAACAAAAAACAAACAAACCAAAAAAAACAAACAATAAGCAAACATCACGAAGTGGTGAGATATAGGAAGGGAGCATGCATGTCTCAGGAGTAATCATCTTACAGACAGGAAGAACAAAGAACCTCAGAGTCTTACATATACAGCTTTAACAAGCAGACTTCTATTCTCACAATTAATCTAGACTTGTCAGTGTTCTTTAATTCTTCAATAGAAGTGTGTATCAGCTCTCTAGAAGCACATCCTGACTCAGTGGGTTTGAAAATTAACACTAAAGCACTCAGCTAACCTTCTTTTTTCTTGTTTTTAAGAAACTTTCAATTCTACATCTCCAGGATATGTGACCAGCTATCTTGAAATAAACATAATTCTTAATTATTGCACTGACAGGTTGATGTTTTTAATGAGTATGATATTTCATTTCCATGAGCCTGATGCGCTGAGAGAGGCTATGTCTCATCTTTATTTCAGAGAACAAGGGTCATCATCCAATCACCAATACATCCCACACATAGTTAAATAAGTCCACCACAGATCTTTCTCCTATAATTATAATGCAAGGTAACTATGGTAACGATAGTTGGCAAATCTTGCCTTTTAAATGGCTTCTGTTGCACAGGTTTTTATATCTTCTTCCCCCTCCCCCTTCCTACACACATTTTCTTATTATAACGAGAAGATATGGGTAACTATTATGAGATCTATGGATTCCTGTCCTGAGCATTACCGAAGATCATGGCTTCATCAAGATGGGTGATCACATTTAACCCAGTCATTTTAGATTGCCTTCATATTTTATGTTCTCAAAATTCCTACAATCCAAGATTCCTGCTCAGTAATACCTTTACTACACCTATTTATATTCCCCTTTTTCACCAAATTCTAACATTACTGAGCTGAATCATCTTCAAACAAGATTAAAATCATGACATTTCATGAATGTTTGGCATCTCCATCTTAGAATTAAAATGTATAAAAATTTTCCTCTTTATAATTTATATAATTATGGGTGCTCATACTCTGTCTGAGCTAAGAAGAACTTAAAAGAGGGCTACTCAATTTCTGTAGAGATTGAGTCAGCATGTCACTTAGCAGCATTTATACCTAAAGGGAAGTCTGTGGTAAAAAATTGCTGCAAAGGTCTATGTTGCCTGTTAGCTCACTGGCTGCATCTCCCATCTCAACTTTTTTTCCATTGACTCACCTTTGATTTTTGGCAGATTCTGAACAAATTATTCATTATAACTCTGGTGATGTGATCATAGTATAGATGGCACTACTTGCATTTTAGAACAAAACAGTACTTTGTTCCTCAGACTAGTATAAGATGCATTATCCTTCTCTCATCCATCAAATCACTTTGTTTTAATCCTGAACAGGATGTCAAATTGTGCTTAAAAACTTTGGCTGTACATTAGTTATAGCCAAAAGTACAAAAATTCAAGGGCAGAATCAAAAGGCTAAGAAAAAAAATATATTCTGATTAAAATATGCAATGCTATCAGTTGTCAGTACAATGTTATCAATTCTTTGATTATTGGAAGAGTAAAGCTTAAAAACATTTAAAAAAAAAACCTAGAGCTCCAGTATGCAAGGAGATATG